TCAATTTACCTTGTGGGCAAGCAATACACGGACAATCTCTAGGCCAAAAAAATATTATGGTCGTTTTATGGATGCCCATGTGAGTTATCGATGATCCGACGTATTATTATTGACCCTGGGTGACCTAGTCGATCAAACCAATGTATACAAATTTTTTGATCGATGAGCTTCGAGCTAATCACATTATTTGATTTAATCACTCTTATGGTTGTATGTTACACCCTAGAAGAGAAAGCGGGATGTTTCTCTAATATCAGCTTTTGACTGAAAATAATACCAATAATACAAAGATATTCTGTATCACAATCATTCATAATCTCAATATGAAATCCGTTATGAGGTATATCTTTAAAACTCAACAGAGTTCTTCTGGATCTGACCATATATAGAGCGTTGTTATTGTTCCATTTGGTAACATAATTACTGCTATTTTGGAGCCTTCAATCAAAAATTTGCAGAACCTAATATTGTATTTATATTAGTTTTAGCTAACATCAATTTTGAGAAAAATCTTTCATCTTGAAGGATTGTATGTATTGTACCGCTATCTACCAGACATGAATCCTCAACATTCATTTCAGGATTTGCAGTGATTAGTAATTAGGGATGTTCAAATTTTTGATTATCCGCAAATTTCGACCCTATTCTACCATACCCGACTTTATTGATCGGCTATCCGAAAGAATCGAGTAGGACAACGAAAGATTTTTTGGTTTTCTGCAAAAAATGGGGTAGGAATGCAGAATACCTACAAAATTTTTGTATTCCTACCCTACCCTATATGTATGTATGTATGTATATATGATGTATGACTTTCTTATAAATGATGTATTAATATTTATGACTTTCTTGTTGTGTTTTATTGTAATTGTTTATGTACTATCGAATTTATTGTGTTTTCTTTTGTGTTATTATCTTATTGTGTTAGTTAATTGGTACGGGTTCCCTAATTAAATTGTTAAAATGATCCAAAAATTAATAATTAAAAAATATTTATTCATCCGATTTTATACCCGACTTCCTACCCGATTGTTTTAGAAGGAATAGTACACTTGATCGAGTAGAGTAGACCAAGAAAAAAATTTTTTGTAAAGTATCGGATAGGAAGATGGAATATCACAATTTCTATCTGTAAGGTAGGGTGAATACCCCTATTAGTAATGGCTAATCACGAGTGAATTAAATTGTCATTACCTTTATTTAATTGCACATGCAAATATTATATCATATAAAGATATTTATTTTTTTGATCAGGTTTATATATATATAAGATACAAACCATAAAAAGCAATATTATTTCTTCTAAATTTTCTTTGGCTCTTGAAACAAGTGTCTTACAAATTTTTCTTGGTTATCTCTTTGGTATTCTCATTCTTTATGTAATAATAGTTGTAGATTATTACAAAAGTTTTTCCAAACTTCCCATTGATTAGATTTCAAAACTTCCCATTTATTAGATTTTATTTTTGGGATGTGAAATTCTAATTTTTAGATTTCATTTATTTAAGTTTTTAATTTTCACATTCATTTCAACTTTTTAGGTTCATAAGTTATTCACTATTATAATAGAGTATAATGGGTCATCTATAAGGCATTTTAGTAGGTATACTTGATATAGACCAATCTACAAGGCATGCTTTCATACACCAACATCCATCTTTTCTTTTTTGTTGTTACAACTTCAGCGTTTTGCATGCTGTCTAACGATTTCTTAATTACCTATCATATACTCTACATTATTTTGTCGTTTCTTGCAAATTGATTCAAGTATGATTCACCATTTCCTTCCAGTGGACATGACCATTGAGTAGGTGTTACTGTGAGTGTCTGAATTTGACCTTGGCGTCACTAATGTCCACCAGTACCCTCGTGCTGGGAGACTTAGCTTCTTAAGGACAATGTTCACACGACTCTTGTGCTCACAGACCAACTCTTTCTAATTTATAGTACTTATTTTATTTTATTCTTAAGAATCAAGGACAATATTCACACGTTCTCGAATTCGCAGGTCAGCTCTTTCTAATTTATAATATTTATTTTATTTTAAATTGATTCTTATTTTATGTTTGTTTGAATATTCTTGATAGTTTGTGATATTGATATTAATTTATTAATTAAAATTCTGTGTAATTATGCTAATTTCTCTAACATAATTTTCTTTTTCCTTTATGTAGTACTTTATTATAATGGTCATGATTCCTACAAAATTATTTGATGTAACATTTATCAAATATCCACTTGTAATTTATGGTTGATTTTTGTTTCTGCTAATTCACTTGTATCCATGCAAAAAAAAAAAAATCTTTATTATTATTAGTACAATCTATATAATAAAGTAGTTAGAAAAGTTTGTCTTGATTTTTTTGCGGCTCAGATTACTTTACGATTATTGATCTAACAATCCTCATACAAAATTTTTCTAAGACTCATATATCTGATACAACTCTCTCTAACTGATACAACTCTCTCTTCTTAATTAGAATTTCATTTATTTTACAATTCTAAAACTCTCATATCTCATATAAATCTCTCTTTATCTCTCACACGTTTTAAATACACTCTCCCTCTCTCATAACTCTCTCTTAGACGGTTTTATATATCTAATAATAACAAAATACATCTAATATCCATTAAAACTCTAAGAATAAGAATCATTTCTAACAAATTATAGAATCATTAACATGTGTCATCCTATATATATTTATATCTATATGATCCTAATTAAATTTTCATTCATTTTATACCTCTCTCTCACACACACATTTTAAACACACACTTTCATCTCTTATATAACTCTGTCTCTCTATCTACCTCATACTCATACTCTCTCACACACACACTCTCTCTCTCTCCATCCTAAACGCATACAGTAATAAAGTAATAAGAGTTGAAGAGTTTGGCTTGGACGGCTATATATATAATAACAAAATACATTTAATATCCATTAAAACTCTAATAACAAGGATTCTCTAACAAATAATTTAAACACACACTCTTACATCTCTCATATAACTATCTCTCTCTATCTCATACTCTCATCTCTCACACGTTTATCCCATCTCTCATGTAACTCTCTCTCTTTATATATACACCCGCCAATATCGACTACTACCTAAAAAAAAGATATATTTTAAAGTATAATGATTAAATATATAAATTGTGTACATGTTGATATTTTTTAGAGATCGTGTTTTTAGATGAAGTTTTGATAAAAATTTTTAGAAAATAATATTTTCAAATTGATTTTGAATTGTATAACTAATGAAAATAATAAAAAATAAAGTACTGTTTAAAAATATTTATATTGCATAACTGGTGCTCGACATTTTTTAAGTTACTTAGTGTCATCAGACACGGGTTATTACTAGTAACTAGATAAGATATTTGAGTCAGTAACCTTCATTCCCTCCAAGTGGGGTTAATCATCTCAGTTAAACCTGTAAGTCTGTATAGATTCGTCTAGCAAAAATATATAAATATGCATTCATAATAAATTGACAATAATATAATAAACAAAATAAAATTAATCGAGATGGACATTCTGATTACTAATAATGATCACATTTGCTACCAGAATTTACAAGAAAATTTGAAATATCAAAATGAGATTTATTTACTAGTTTATTTTGACATAGTTATCAGAATCAAATTGAATGTCGGACCGTCAAAGTGACTGGATAAATGGTTTACTGGTTGCACTGTTGAATCAACTGGTCAGACGAGTTGTACAATAAAAAATTAAAATAGAAAACATGTTCAAAATACATATAATTTTTCATAAAATTAATGAAGTTAAATTAAAAAAAAATAGGGGTGTCAAATGTGTCGGGTTGGGTCATTTTGTGTCAGGTTGATTTCGAGTTTATGTCGAAAATCCCAAAATCCAAACCTAACATGTTTAATAATCATGTCGAAATGTGTAAACACTAACATGACCTGACTATTAAACAGGTTACCCGAACCCGACCCATTTGACATGTTTAATAAACAGGTTATTTTCGGATTAACACACATAATATGATATGTTTAACTTGTTTAACACACATAACATAGACTTGTTTAACATACATAACCTGTTTTTACACCATTTCATTATATTTAATACATTATTCAATCATTCATCCAAAATTTCAAATAATTTTTTTACGAATAACATATCACATCTCATCAATAAAATTAACAAAAAGTGCATTTAAGTTTCAATCCAAAAATTAAAGCAAGAACCATACTAGTATACTGTCAAAATAATGTTAAGAACTATATTGTTAATTATCATAGTAAAAATAAGAACTAATAAATAATAATATTAAGACCACATCAGTCATACATATTAGGTAAACTATACTGTCATAAACGGGATAAATGAGTTTACAATAGGTTAGGTCGGGTTCGTGTGCGAATCATGTCAACTCATTTAAAATATATGGGTTAATTAGGTCAAAATCGGGTTGGCATGAACCAGACATGATTTTTTTTTGTTTAATCGTGTTGACCCATTTTAACTCATTAGCTCATTTAATTTCGTGTTCAACCCATTAATTTCGTGTTCGATTCATATCGTGTTAACGTGCCGCATCAAAAATTGATAGCTCTATAAAAAAAACAATGCGTGTGTCAAAAAATTTTGCAATAAATACTTTTGTCAAAGTCGATGACCCATTAAAAAGGCATATTCTATTCTAAAGAATCTAAAGTACCAAACTAGCAGAGTACTTAGCGGGCGGGGAAAATCCCTCAAGGCTTTAACTCAGTGTTGGACCGGATCAGTCAGTCAGACCAATTTAACCGCGAACCGGACTTAAACCGGTCCAGTTCCCTAATTGAACCGTATATGGTAGTGAACCAACTATAAACCAAAAAATCGGCTGATTTTTATAAAAAATCATGAATCGGCGGTTTATAAAAATCGAACGGTTAATACCGTTTAAAAATTAAATTACATAAATAAATTAAACACAAATTTATACAGGATTGGGGCTTTTTTTTGCCCTAAATCGCAG